TACATTGTACATGTAGTTCTATAAATAGATTCATATGATTCTATAAATAGACAGAATTACATGTATAATTTATAATTTCTATTTCAGTATCACTCTTATCAGAGGAGACTGGAAGAAGTGAACAAGCCATTGAACTCAATAAAGAAATCTCTTTAAAATACACACACACACACATCTATAGATTACATTATTATTGTCAGATTTTGATTAATGAAAACCATTAATACAGTAGCTGCCATTGTGTAGTAGCAGTAGTGTTATTATTATTATTATCTGTTATATTTATATTTCAAGTGTACACAGTGATTAAACTTTCATTAAAGAAATCATAAAAATTTGACACTTGATTTTAAAATGCTCTCCTTGCAATCCGCCCACGGGATTGATTAACATTCTAATTTTTAACCCTTTTAAACGCCATTTTGTTTAAGGTCAACTCTCTTTTTGCTGGATTTTGCCTTTTCGCTCATGAAAGATGAAGTTCTCTCACATTCTCTTCTCTCATCTAACCCCAGAGTGGAGGGCACACTACATAGACTATGACGTGAGACCTTCTTTTACTTACACAGACTCTACTTCACCTCTCTCTCCGTCTCTTTCTCCGTTCAGGCTTTAAAAGTCTTAGTTTACAAGATGGTCTCTCAAGATTGGACCAAGAAAGACGAAGACGGTGAGCTACTCTTCGTTTAAAACTTTTGTTTATGTGACACGCCTTCACCACACCTCCATAACATTTATCTCTCTCTCTCTCCTTCCTTCATATTCTACAGATCTTGATAAACTCATTCCTCCAGTTGATGAAGACAAACAAACCGAGTTTTTTGATGAGATACAGCGACAACTGGACGGTGTCAACTCATTTTATAGAGGTACATGTACATTATAATGAATTATGATCCATTGTCACGAAATCCGTGACAAGCAAAAACCCATTAGTTCCATTGTCATGAAATTAGTGACAAGCCATTAGTTCCATTGGCAATGATATTTTGAACTCTACATCTCTCAATTTATTTGTCGTGCAAATTTTAAAAAGATTATACTTTACAATATACATGTACATATGTACAATTTACTGCCCCTCCCTCTTCCTCCCTATTGTTAGTACATGAGTCTGAATTGAGTCACCAGCTTCAACACTTAGCGGAACAAGTTGACACTTTCTCTCAAGCTCGTCGTATCAAAAACTCAAACAGGAAAAGAAATTCACTAATCAAGGCTTTCTGTGAATTTTACTATCATCTCTCTCTCCTTCAAAACTTTCAAGTAACTACTTCAGTAACGTACATGATAATACCTAAGGCTATAGTCCATGGTTTTTTCTTTAAAATGGCTCTGAAATCACCCCCAATTTTTATTACATTTTCTGATACATATTGATGCACTTATGCTGTGTAGAAAGTTTGAGCTGATTCCGACTCCAATTTTTCGAGTTACAGCCATTTTAAAAAATGAGCCAAAATCTGAAAAATACCCAAGGCTATAGCCCATGGTTTTTTCCAAAAAATGGCTCAGAAATGACCCCCAATTTTTATTACATTTTCTGATACATATTGATGTACTTATGCTATGTAGAAAGTTTGAACTGATTCCAACTTCAATTTTTCAAGTTATGGCCATTTAAAACATGTACAACATTATGATTCCATTCTTAAATTTTCTTATTTTTATTTCAGAAACTGAATCACACTGGCTTCAGAAAGATACTTAAGAAACACGACAAAGTCAGTATTTACATGTACATGTATTATTTATTTATTTATTTATTTATTTATGCTTGCTTGTACTGTAGCTTGCAAGCTCAGATCGTGGC